ATGCATCCTAAGTTTCTTCCAAAGCATTTCTCTTCTGCCTAAACATTTCTCAGCTCTTCGTCCTCTGCCAAAGTTAGGTGGATAAATTAAAATGCAAGTTGGATGCATAAACAAAATCCCTCCTGCATCCTAAGGAAGGATTTGAATAAAAGAAGAAGCTCAGACAAAATCAGTGTTCAGACTTATTTTTTTTCATGCTCTCTTCTGTCTTGAGTGAGGATGGAATGAGCAGATGGGCCAGTGTGACTGTAAAATTGTGTTATAATTTACTGAAACCTGGAGCATTTCACTGTGACCAGAGCCAGTGAAGGTAGACTGCTCCAGGATCTTAGGACTGAAAGTGAAAATGTGTTCAGGGAGCAACAGTGGGAGCAGGAGAAACCAGTTTGTAGGTAGGGTTTTAACCAGCAACAGTAGCAAACAGTGCTGCCTGTACTGTGTGAAAACACAAGGCATTTGTGTTTCTCAGGCTGAAAACCAAAAGTGGGCTCTGCAACATTAAATCTGTGAGATTGAACTGGTGTATTTTGAGTTTGAAGAACTATAAGATAAAGGTGGGAAACTGGGAAAACCAGTTTTGCCTTTGGGGAGATTCAGCCCCAGACAGGGAGTCCTATACGTAGTTCTCCACTCACACCCCGGTGTCTCAGTGACAGACTTGACTCCGATTATTGCTGCAGATATCACGTGTATTAAAAAGAGATAGAGCACTGAATGTAAATAACAAAGATCCTTATAAATGCTGGATGGTAGCAAAGTTGCTTGTAGATTATAATATAAGAAAAGGTGTAATAAAAAGTACGTACTCACTACCTTACCCACAAAAAAAAACATTCCTTCTTGTTTAAAAAAGAGTTTTTTCCTCAGAAAAAGCTAATTTGTGATGCCTTTAGGGTTTATATTTGATCTGGTGCTGTTTATTATCCTGATGTCTTCGTAGCTGTGGCAGGTTTTGTCAGAGGTGAGACTGTGAACCCCTTCATGACTGTTTCTCAGAACTGCCCTGGAAGTTCAGAGACACAAGTGGCAGCATTGCCAAAGCTTACAAAATTCTGTCTTGATATGCAAAATGATTATTTTCTTTTCCCAGAAGCATGACCACCTTGATGTCTAGTTCAGGATGAATCAGTTTTTATGTGCCACGTGTGTGAGAAGTGCCTGTGCACCTGCAGCAGTGCGACCACTCACTTCTTGCCCATGTTTTCTGCATTCATAGGCATTCAGAAGTACTTCCTAAAACAGCTCTTTGATCAGCCCTGCCAGCTAGCACCTCTATCCTCAAATAAAACAGCTTCCTTTTACAGCTTGCTAAAAATAGCCATTTTTTTAAAGCCTGAGGACACAGTGATTCATGTGATAGCGAAGAGGAAGAAGGGTTATTTCTTTTGCTTTAGGCTTTGGAAGGAAAGCTGCTGTGCTTGTTCCAGTGCCAACTGGGCTCTTGCTTGCTCCCACTTGGACTTCATGGCCGCATTGCCAACCAAGTGTCTCTGGCATCCCTGGATCTGCCATGGCAGCCCAGCAGCTACTTGAGATGCAGATGCCATGTCCCAGTGCCCATCTTGGCTCTGGAGAGAGGGTGCACAGTCACTACCACAACTGAAAATAAACCCTGAGATGGCAAGTTGCAGCTTTTTTCTCTGAGCTCTTGTTCAGAGCTCACCCAAGGATGAAGGTATTTCTTGCAGTTTATAGACACGGAAAGGGGAAATGCTTCCACTCTGTCACTGTTAAAATTCCTGATGAAGCTCCCAACACCATTGCAAGTGCAGTGTAAGGACAGGAAGAAGTCACAGATAGAGCTGACATAGGCCTGTTTTTTCATGAATTCCTGTAGCAGCTCTGCAGAGCTCTCGTTCTGCTGTCTGACGTTGCAGTGTACGACTGCTAAACCTGCTTCTAGGCTCTGGCTTGCAGTGGCCCCTCTCTCAGTAACCTGCTCAGGTGCAGTTTTTTCTGCTTTGAAGCTCTTCATCTTCTCTTTTCTCCTGAAGAAACAGGAGAAAGGCACTAGCCTTGCTGTAAATGGAATTGGTTGCCAACCTTTTAAGATTCTTATTCCTACTCCAGCAATGTGTTTCTGGAGGAACGTGACGCAGAAAATGGCTGGTATATGTGCGTACAGCATTTTAGTTGCTGAGCAACCTCTTTCTTGCTTCAGCCACTTAGCATAAGAATCCCATTTCAAATAAGATACTTGGGACCCTGGCTGACTCAGCGACAGCTAGTGTAACCTGCAAAGACTACTTGGACAGGAAAACAAAACCACTTTCTCGAAAAACAAGAAGATTTGCAAGAACTTTTGCCGTAAAGGACCATATATCTGCAATGTTGCTTTCTAATTCCCACACACAGTTTTTTATATTTGGGTTCTTGGGTAGACCTTAAATCACTGTTCTAGATAAAGCATGCCCAGAAGCAGTGGTTCTTATCTACAGCTCAACAAAGTTATCTTTCTTAATGCTTATAAACTTACCATGTTTTTATTAATAGCATCCTGAGAACTTGTGCAACCAGATGATGTTTGCGCCTTTTTTTCTGACAAGCTTGTTTGAACCAGTTTTAATAAAATAAAAGCTTTGGCATGAAGGCAAAATAATATTTTGCGTTGATGGAAGGGGGAAGAGTATACACTTCTAATACTGAAAAAAACCAAGGTCCCTGGAAGTGTGCAGTGATAAGACTCACCAACTTGAATAATCATGTGTGAGCTTTTGTTTTTTTGTTCTTCTTTTGGCTGTTTGTCTTTTTTTTCTTTTCCGGCTTGTGCTTGTTAGAATTGCCACCACCCAAAAGGAGCTGGGTTTGTTCTTTTTGTAAAAGATTTAACACACATTTTTCATGTCTGACTATCTTCTTGGCTTTCTGTCATCATTCCGAGGAATTAATTGTTGATACTTGCCTATATTCATCCGCCCAAGTACCATTTCCTCCTTTCCTTCTCAGCAGTAGCTTATCTGCAGGGTCAAAGGAGTAATACAAGTCACACTGAATGGGAAAATAGGGGAATGGAGCCCAGATCCTGCTAGAAGCACCATGTGGATTTTTTTTTTGCCTTGGTCTGGCCTCGAGGACCAGCTTTGCAGAGCCTGAAGAAGGTACAGATCAGAGAGCAAGATGGAGAACTCGGTGGTTCAGCTCTAGTTTAGACCTGTGCTCCAGCGAGAGCTGACAGTGCACAGCCGTCCAAGTTGTGTCGTTCAGGCAAGCTGCTTCCTCCAAATTATTCAACATGAAATAAAGGTTTTAATTTTCAGATAACCTTTACAAAACAAGCAAAATGCAACCTTACTAGCAATCTTGGAAAGCATTTTTCGGTGTTGGCAGAAATGACTGGCTGCTGGCTAGATTGTGTATCTCAAGTAGGAAGATGTCTTCCTTTGCCTTGTGTAACTGTGTGAAAAAGGGGCTGCATGTTCAGATACCTGGTATCTCTGCATCCTACTTTAGATTGAGTACATTTTATACATATACAAGTATTTTTGTGGCTGTGACAGTGGGCAGCAGATGCAGTAAGTTGTCTCCTGGCTGCTAGGTTTCACTCATTTGATCCAGCTTGTTTCTGCATCTTTTAGCAGCTAATTGTTCCAAAGTCACAAATTCAATTGTCCTGCGAGAGTTTGCTTTGGAACATCTTTCCTGAATAATCGCTGCTGATTTTTGCATGTTATTTTTTAATCTAATTTAGAAAGGACAGGATGTTTTTAAGGATCAGGACAATGGTTACACAGCTTCCAGTGCCTTGATTTTCCTTTGTGGAAATCAGTGGCACATTAATTCCGGGACTGGCACTGCTGTTTGTGCACATGGTGGTTAAGCTTAAGCCCCCCTGGTAGAGGTATTTAAGGGTCATTTGTTATGGAAAACCTGAGACTTTATGTTAGGGGCATGAAATATTTAGTATGCAAATCCAATGCTGCTGTTTATGGATAACATATTAAGAGTCACCAATGCAGTACAGCAATTAGGGACTTGAGACAAGTGTGCAGTCACCCAGATAGGTGGCAAATAACCATAAAGAGGAAAAGAAGAAAAGACAACAAGCAACTGCTTTAAAATACTGAAAGGGAAATTCGGGTTAGACGTTAGGAAAACATTTTAACAATCTGAGGGGTTAGTCACTGAAATAAATGACCCATGGAGACGGAGGAACCTCCAGGAGGATTAGATCAACATTGGTCAGGAATGACGTGGACAGTTTTGTCCTGCCTCTGGTGACCCAGAGGAGCAGGCAGCCTCCCCCGGTCCCCTTCACCCCTCTGGCTGACAGCAGCCATGCTGTAAAAGGCTCCAGAGTTTATCTTACTTCAGTTTCTTATCCCTAATAAATCTAAAAAGTCCTCTGGCTCTTGTTACATTATCAGCTTGTTCTGTACTAAATATATCCTCATGCCTTGTAGCTGGGGTTTGCACACCAAGGCTTGTGCTGCATGCGTTTTTCTCCAGGCTCGGCAGTGAGCAAGGTGGCCATTTCATCAGGTTTCTAGAACAAGCCTGTAATTGGGTCTTGCTGGTTTGCTTGGACTGTGCTTTTCTTGCCAATATTTGGCACACAAAGTGCTTATGCTCTTCGCAACACTAAAGATCTCATCAGATGCTGATATTGGAAAAAAACAAGCGTCTTGCTTAGAATTTCCCGAGTGTGGCTTTTTCCCCCCTGTTTTCAAACTTCCATTCAGTCCAGTAAGTGGCTAATTTTAGCATCGTGCCAGATGTTCTGTTGCTATTGTCTATGTATCTTCAAGCTCGTCTGTAAACCAACTGGGATTAGATTTTTGGAGTTTTTTTCTGCCTTATCCCTTGCCAAAATTGGTGCCGTTCCTTCATGCAAAGTACAGGGGATGCAAAGCTGATTTAAATGCGGTGTGGTGGCATCACCTCCTCAGTGGGCTGTAAAACACCCAGTGGCTTTGGGAAGAGAACTGAATCCAGACCTTGTGAGATAAAGCGAGTTAGTATGTTATTCCTGATGCTGACTGAATTATGTGACTGTTTTACAGGAAAAGAGAGTACAAGTCTCCCCGCCACTGACAAGAGGACCAAGTGCCTTTATACCAGAGAATGAAGTAAGTTTGCAGTTAGCTGGGCCAGGCAGGTGGTAGCTTTTAAAATAGAAATACTGAAAGACAGTTCTATGACCCTGCTTGTTCCATGGTACCCAGATGAGCTCCCTTGAGAGCAAAAGTGATGGTTTCTCTGGAGCAGGTTCCAGTGGGTAAGAACCACCTTGTCCTTGCACACAAGTGGTGCTATTTGACATCTTTTCAGTCACCAGCACTCCTGGAGACAGCCATGAGTGACAGCTCTGCTCTCTCAGGTGGCAGTTGAACACATTACTCATAATGCCAGACCTGAGGGGAGGCCTGTCCGGTATTGCAGCAGAATGATTATACAGCTCTCAGAGCAGTGTCTGACCTTCAATTTGAGAGAGCTTGCAAGTATGACTTCACTCCTCAGACTGTAGCTGTGGCTCTTGAGAGAATTTATGGTTGAATGGTATGGTTGAATTTCAGACTCAAGACTTCTGCCCATGACTGAATGTTCGAGGTAAGCCCTGATTTGCAGCTTGCTGCAGCAGGTAGAAAGTTTGCTATGGTGGTGTTCTCCCATGTTCTCAATCTTCACAGAGTTTTGTTTATTAATTACTTAATTATTTGGGGTGGTTGACTATAAAACCAGGACTTTTTGTTTTAAGTAGTTGCTACAGACAGATAATTCACATGCCAGAAGGGCCAAAAAGACATTGTGAAAGATGAGATAGCTACTCTTCTCTGAGTCTCTCTCCATTTATACACCAGCAAGATTTGAATTTAAAAGCAAACAGAGAGGGTGTAAAGGATGCCAACAAGAAAACATAATTAAGCAAAAAGAAAGGTCAAAAGGAGTCTTTTAAACTTGGGACGAGAGGAGTAGAATGAGTTCCAGACAGTCAAACTTGTGGAGAGAACACCACCCTTTCGCATGAAATACAAGATGAAATTGAGATGCCAAACTTTGTAATGGTGTAGTTTTCCTCATAAAGTCAGTAATTATATTAAAAGTAGAAAAATAAATGTAGTTAAAATTGTAACATATTTTGAGAGAATTGTTAATGAATTTATTTCAAAGCTGAGAAGCTGAGACACTTGGTACAGTCACTAGCCAAGAGTGCAGGAGAAATCTCAGAAAGGAGTAACCCAAGCGGTCGCCCAGTACAAGCAGGGACCCTCCAGCTGTATGGATAAAACATCTATTCAGTATCACAAACAAATGCTATTTGTGGTTTGTTAAGCAAATTACTACCTTTTTCCCTCACTCCTTGTCATGAAATAATGGAGCAAATAGGAAGGATTTAGTTAGAGACTGAATGTCTCACAAATCTTGATAAAAACACTGCTGGTGCCAAAGCCTCCTTTATTGTTGTAATGGGAGGAATATGGGCAGAGCAATAACAACTTAATTGTAAAGGTTCGTTTAAAGCTGTTAAAGTGCCATAAGGCTTTAAAAGCAGAGTAAAAAAATATGTTTATGGATGGAATCAGGATGGATATGGATATGGATAAATCAGGAGGAAATACGTGCACAGTATGAAGAGGATAGTAATAGAGGTAGAGATAAATCTTAGAAATAATAACGTAGCATATTGCTAGACCTAGTATAGCAACAGTGCAGTCCTACATGACTATGTTTTGATGCTGTCAGCAGAATTCTATCCATAATTTATACTGTTACAAGGAAAATCCCTGACAAGCTGAAGAAGATTAGAAGCCTATGTTTGAAAAGTATGATTTCCCCAAGAAACCACAAAATGAGACAAAGATCTCTTAAATACACTTGCTGAAGAACAAGGGGGACTCCTTGCAGTAGAGCAAGGGATGCACGGTAATAAGTGAGATAAAATGATCTCTAATGTGTGAATAAACTTCTGACAGTAAAAACATTATTAAGGAAAACTGAGAAGGCATCATTTTGAGTACAAAGCACAGAAAAGTTGTCATAATGAAGATGGATATGTAAAAATGATGGAGCTGCCTAACTGTGTAGCTGCTGCTTCCCTTTCTGGGCTCACAAATTAAAACAGGAAAGTACACTAGTGAGAAGTGAAAATGTAGTATGTTGTTGGTGTTTCTTTACATGTAACTTCTATATAAGATCTGATAGAAAAATATTTGAGACACAGTCCACTCATCATCCCATCACAAAGAAAGAAAAAATATTTGAAATAGAATATTTCAGCAAAAGCATTGTATCTTCTTAGCTTTGGGCACTTTCTAGCTTTATGTGCACTAAGCCATCTAAAATGTGTTCTCATGTCATGGTGTTTGCAATAGTAAACTAGCTGGTTTATTACTATGCAGTGTCAGAATAAATACTGGGTACTCTAGTCTTGTGCTTGTAACTTCAGTGGTGAACATGTTGAGAGTGGCTGTTCTTGGTGATAAACACTGAGTAACAGCAGTAATACTGTGTCAGGGCTTGCAATGCAAGAGCTACTTATTCTGCTGCTGTTTCATTTCATCTTGTGCCCAAGGTTTGGATTGGTTGGAATAATTAAAGAACAGCTTTTGTTTAAAGAAAGCATTAAATTCCTATTCTAAATAATACTTGAATGTTATGGACAAATTAGCATTTGATCTCCTCTTCAATTATACAAGCACAGAAGGGGTAGCTTGCCAGGCTGTTTCTATAATTTAGTTACATAACCTAGTTCCTCTCCATTAATTTTGAAATTGGTTTTAGAGCTGAATGCTCGGGTAATATGTGTCTATACATGCTGTCTTCCACAAAGAATTTACTTTCCATTTAGTTGTTACTTACTTCCAGTTCTCTATACAGGTTTGACTTAAAGCATCTGTGACTTTAGCTGTTTTGGAAAGATCTACAGAAAAATGTTTTTGGGTTTTGTAGGAACATTAAAATAACAGAGGTTCTGTATAAAGTGCTCTTCAGTTCTCATTATACAAGTAGGATCTGTATGTGTGTATTTGCATGCATGCAAGCATGTATGTTTATAAATATACATCCAGATCTCCATCATTGCCTTTATATCTGTACACAAGGAAACCTTTCATACTGCGGTATGTTTCTCCCCAGGGCTAAAACTAAAGAAAATCTCTTTCTCTGCTAAAATGTGTCCATCTTATTTTTAGGTTATGCAAGCAAACGGTTTGGATGAACGTACTAATCTTCTTGTGGAAGAATATTCTACGTCTGGTCGCCTGGACAACATCACACAGGTCATGAGTATCCACACTCAGTACCTGGAGTCTTTCCTCCGCAGCCAGTTCTATATGCTGCGCATGGATGGGCCCCTTCCTTTGCCCTACAGGCACTACATTGCTATAATGGTAGGTACCAGCAGCCTGTGTATCATCTCCTGCAACCTTGACTTTTGTATTTAAAAAAGTAATTAAAAAGGGCGACTTTAGAAAGCAGAGGTTAGTGTGATACACCGACAGTGGGTGAATTTTTTTGGCAGATTTTTATCAGAATAAAACATGCCTTTCAGTGAGAAAGGAAATAGGCAATGTACTTAATTCCCCGTTTCCCACAGCGATACACTTCTCACATGCCAACATCACTGTTCAGCAGTAAGATGAGATGCGGTGGACTCGAGTCACAACAAATTCCATGTAGACACCAGGAAAGCAATTTTTACTGTGAGGATGCTGAGACATTACAGTGGGGACCAAGACAGGTTCTGTGATCTCCAAGGGTGGAGATCTTGTCTGGACAATGCTCTGAGCAATCTATTCTAAGTCAGCCCTACTGTGAGCAGGGGTTTCTCCACTAGTGTTCTTTTCCAACCTAAAGTATATTCTGCAAGTCAGAGTAATCAAATGTATTTTTATTAGCAAATCCTCCGTACTGTATAGAAATGCATTACTATATAAAACAAGGCCCTTTGGAATGAAATTGTACTTAAAACATTGTTTTGTGTTAGTAACCTGTCTTCCACCTGCAGCAAAATCAGATTACACGATAATGTGCTGCACTTTTCCCGCTGTGTTTAATTATTCTAGGCTGCTGCCAGACATCAGTGTTCCTACCTAATTAATATGCACGTTGATGAGTTTCTGAAGACTGGTGGGATTGCAGAGTGGTTGAACGGCTTGGAATACATTCCCCAAAGACTGAAAAATCTGAATGAAATAAACAAACTCCTTGCACACCGGCCCTGGCTAATCACAAAAGAGCACATTCAGGTACCTCTTCAGTCATGCCCTGTAAATATCAATAAATGTCTGGTAAAAAGGACTGCCAAGCACTATGCGGGTGTCTGGTTAGGCTTCATTACCCTGAGTTAAAAAATTCCGGGAAATACTAGTGCATCGAACAAGCTAATAAATTCTCCTGTGTGACAGTAGAATTTGTGTGACAAAGCCAACAAGATTTTCTTTTTAGGAATAGCATTGGCTAAAATGGCCCCAAAGGAAAAGAGGTAATCTATTAGTTGTCTCTTTTTTTTTTATCCAGTGAGAGTTTGTGTGCAAGAGGAATATGGTATTATTGGAAGAAAAGAATTGATCCCTTTTTAAAATGCATAGTATTTTATAGAAAAGCTGGGGGCCAAAAGAAATTTTATATTTACACTTTTTTTTATTCTCATTTCAGAAACTTGTCAAGACTGGGGAAAATAATTGGTCTCTTCCTGAACTGGTGCATGCTGTTGTCCTGTTGGCACATTATCATGCCTTGGCAAGTTTTGTATTTGGTAGTGGCATTAATCCAGAGAGAGATCCGGAAACATCTAATGGAGTCAGACTTATAGCAGTCAACAACTTCTGTGTCTGTGATCTTGCCAATGACAACAACATAGAAAATGCATCCCTCACAAGTAGCAACTTTGGGGTTAGTGTTGCAAGAAAATTCTTTTGCTTACCTCTGTTTTGCATTAGAAAACTTTCTTCCTTTTTTTTCCTGCTGAAATTTCACGGTAGTTTGAAAGTTTTTGTCTACTTTATGGGAATGCTCAAGTCTGGTAATTCTTACATTCAGTCTAGCAATTTTCTATATAATCCATGGAAAACCAGGATTGTAACTGTGGATGGTAGTCAGAGCAATGTGATTTTGATAGTTAATCTCACAACCCATTTGGCAAGACTAAAACTTTCCTTTCAGCAGAAAGCTTCAAGTCCCAGTTTCTTCAGACAGTGTGGCATTGACTGGAGCATCCATGTTCCTAACATGTGGAATAAAAAAAAAGAAATGGAAAAAGATAGTAGTAGTAGTAATAATAATAATTATTTTAACTTCAAGGCCTGCAATCACAAAACAGGTTGGTTCTGAAACACTTCCATGTAGATGGGAGGAAACATTTGAAATAAAATAACTTAATTCTCCATGCTGGTGTTTCAGTCTTGCATCAACAGAGAACTTTGATTACTTGTTAATTAACTTAAATGTGGACATTTTTTTCTGAAAGGGGCTCTATAATGCTTTTTAAGACACGTCCTTGAATTAATGCCGACCGATGAATTAGCCTCATTGCCTTTGATGGGAGGTCAGGACTAGGAGAGACTCGCTAGATATAATTTTTACAATTAGCAGTAGGACGTGAACATATGATCACTCAGTTCAGTTGCTGTGTCTTAAACTTCTAGCCTGTAAGACATGCTAGCTTGTACAACAGAGGTGCCTTACTGCCCATTTGTACTGGGAGGAGGGTTGCTGCTGAGTCTGTGCTGCTGGTTAAGCACTGAGCAGCATCCTAGAAAACATTTATAGCTGTGGGCACAAGAACAGACTCAAAAAGATGGAAAAAACCCACACAAACAATTTACCTTACAAAAAATCTGAATAATGAGTACATTTCAGAGCACCCAAAACTTTGATGTATTTCTAGGAAAAAGTGGTCTGGTTTCCTCACAAAAATAAAAAAAATGGTCAACATAATAGGTATTTTGATCACACATAATGAAAAGCACTGATTTGCCATCTAAGGTTGTGTTTCTGTATTATAGTCTTGCAGTGTAACTCTTCAGAAACATATTTTCATTACCAACACACTGAAAAACGTTACCTTAATATTAAAAGTTGTTTTCTGATAGATGTAGGGCCCGCAGATGGATTTTCCTGAGCTATCTACATGGGAGAATGTATAAGTGACTATGGTTTCCACACTCAAACACCACCTCCATGCTGTTAATCCCACTGCAGAAATTACTGCAACAGGTTACATCAACACTTCCCAGCTCTTGTCTTCTTGCTGTCTGAAAGCTGTTGTCTGCGCTGTATGTGACAAAATGCATTCTGGCTTCAGTTTTTGTGTTTGCTGCTGCTGTGTGTTTTTGAGAGCGCTTGTTGTCAAGCATGAAATCCGAAGATGACACACGTTGTCTATCTTCTAATTTTGCAGAATGTCATGGTGTTTTTGCAGATTGCAGATTCTTTAAGTGAGCTGGAGGCCTTGATGGAAAGGATGAAGAGACTACAAGAAGATAAAGAGGACGAAGAAGCCTCTCAGGAAGAAATGGCAACTCGCTTTGAAAAGGAGAAGAAGGAGAGTCTGCTAGTTATTAGTGGAGGTATTTGTGCTTTTCCAGTTCCATTTTTTTTATGCTTTGTAAGAAAAAAATACTTGAGACTAGCTCAGTGACTGAAACTTCTTCTGTATCTTTATTCTGGCTCTTCATGAAGTAGGAGTGTATTAGGTGGTCTTGTCACTTGCTTCATCTGCTTAAGATTTCTTGATTGTCAAATAACACCATCCTTTTTACTACTTGAAATTTAGCTTTTGTATATTAAAAAAAAAGGCTGTAGGCTTCTTTAAAAAGTAGTGAGTAAATTTCTCTTTCTTTATATGCTCTATATCTTCAAAATAATTCGTTCATATAAAGATTCACTAATACTTCACAGGTTTACATTTTACAGCACTTAGAACTTCAGTTACGCTCCCAAGTAGCCTTCAGATATGGCATTTAGTTTAGGAATAAGATTGGGATGAGACTCAACTTCTTCACCATTTACTGCCCAGATGGAAAGGACATTTACAACTTGCCATTCTGAGTGATCATACTGCTGTGCTGTTCCACTGTCTGTGTTGTGATAGAGATTCATAGCATTTTTTTATTCTTAAATAATGTTCCAAATTCTGAGCTGAAACCTTCTTTTCCATATTCTTCATGTGCTCTGGAGGCTGCCATCTCTAAAAAAACATACAGCAAAGTCTGCTTCCTGTAGACAGGAAGATGGGGTTTTCTTTGCAAAGAAAGTGTTAGAAGAAAGAATATTATTAAGGCAATCAGAACCTACAGCTACTTCCTTATAGTAGAGGCTACTTGAAGGTGATTGCTAGGGTCATTTTGAGAAGTCACCCATAAAATGCTTCACATTTTACTACACTGTTCTTAGTGAATTTAGTTCTCAGTAGCTTTAGATCAAATGTGTTTTAAGGTATCATCGTCTTTGTGCAATGAGCACAAAAGGGAGGAAGAATGTGTTGCGGATCAGCAGAGAGATTGTTTTGTGGATCTCTAGGAACATGCAAAGTCTCTGAAAGAAGATACATCCAACAACATTGTGGCTGGATTTTCAGAAATGGTCATTGTATATTCTTGCTCTGTTTTCCTTTGGTCAGGCAGTGTCAGCAGTGCAGATAGACACAGCCACTGCAGCTGCATTATCAAATCATAACTTCTGTGACTCTGCTACTTCAGGCATATGAGCAAGAGGACTGAAGGGTTTTTTTGGATGAGGTTGCTAATAGTTTTGTTGACTTTCCTCTCCCTTTGCCTTCTGCTGGTTTTAGTTGAGGAGTCTGTGTGTTGGGCCTTTACCCCTTCATGAAATTCAGTGCTTGTCAGGGGAGAGGAGTGTATGTATACAGGTTTTTTTTATTCTTTGCTGAGAATTTACTGTGGCAGATGTTGTGCAAGCTTCTTCCTACGCAGTTATGTTTTGATTGTTTAATGAGGCAAAGAGGAGATAAAGCACTTCTGCAATTCTTAGATTAACTGACTTTTCAAGGTGCTAACAGGGGACATATGGCATCTGTTCTGTCAATGCATGTGGAAGCGAGCCACAGTTTTAACATCAGGGTCAAATGCAGTCAGCTATGCAGTGGTCAACTTCTGCAGAGGTAGTTACACAATCAAGCCACCTGTTTATTCGTGAGGGAAATATTGATTCCTGATAGAGAACCTGCGCTTGCTTAGTGATATGTTTTGGAGCTCTTTGAAGATGCCTAGTTACTAGAGCTTCTGGCAGAATTTCACCCTGATGTACTGTAGAGCTCTTTGTTTTCATATCCTCTTCATCTGATATTTACAGTGGAGCATTGCATTGCTTTCTGGTTGCTCATACTCTGGATTATGGAACAGAGCTGGTGTGATTCCTGACACCATACCTGCTCAGTGTAGCAATCCCATTGTCAAGGGTACATTTTTCTGTTTCTTAGCCAAACACAATGACCTTACTAATGGGATTCATCTTCCTGATTTAAGATACCTAGACTCCCTCAGAAGTCAGCAGAGAGAAAAGCAAAGCTCCAGACTGAAGTTTAGCCCATCTCTTCCCTTTTTGTAGAAGTATGTTAAGATGTCTGGTATAGGCTGACATTTAGTGGGCTCAGTGAAAGCGATGGATCCCATACAAGCAGATTAGGATTGAAATGTTTCTTTCTTTTGTACCACTATTCTCCTTTGCATCACTCTTCTCCTTTGCTCAACTTCTAAAATTGTCCTCTCATCCTGTTGTAGAGTGGTAGTTGGAAGTTGGCGCTAACTCATGAGCTTGCCTAAAGCAAAGCATTTTGCCGTTTTATTCACAGCATTTGACGATGAAATAGTTTCTACAGATGTCTCCCGTTATATTGAAGATCCTGGGTTTGGGTACAAAGACTTTGCAAGGCGAGGAGAAGACCATCTGCCAACATTCAGAGCTCAGGTACCGTCTCTTTAAAGTGCATTCACTCAAAGAATGTTCATATATCTCACTACAGGACAAGTAGCATAAAGCAGTTGTAGTCAAGCATGTTTTTTGCATGCTCCTTTTCTTGTCCTGATCCATTAAATAACTGACGAGCTTCCACAGATGTCCCTGACATGGAGTCTGTTTTTAAATCTCAGACGAGTTAGTACGTGGCTTTCTGTCTGATGTTTGTTATTACCAATATTAATGTTTTAAAACCGTAAAGCATATTGCTACATCTGGAATGAAAATGAAAGGCAGAAAAGAAACAACTTCTTTCCCATCCCTCCAGATGTTGTATTAAAAAAAAAAAAATCACTGGAGGAACTCTTTATTCCTTTCATTTCATCAAGTATTCTCTACCCAGTGGTTATCAATACCTGAATAAATGTATATGTCTGTGAGAGCGATTTCATGAGTATAGCTCTCATATGTGCACCACATCACTGGACTTTGGATGTTGGGAAAGATAAAGAGTTCCTAAAAATGATTACTGAAGTTTTTGCTATATTTTAATGCATCTTTTTCAGTACTGTTGAAAGAGCATCATATATATTTTACCTGCACATTGTCTTATATATTGGTGTCTTTTTCCATGGCCAGAATCCTGAACTTTATAAAATATATAACAGGAGGGACATTTTAAGTTGTTCTGTTCTATCTTATAGAGTACATTAATGAGCAGATTAGTAATAAATTGAAAGCAATGGAAGAAACCCTAAGCCAAATTGAAGAACTTCAATGAAAACAACAGTGGGTGCAGGAAAACTTCATGGTCAGAAGATGTATCTATGACTGTAAAATACAGAATCCAAAATCACTCTCAGGAAATGTATTTAACTGTATAGCAGTCTCTGCCGATCTGGATAATTTATACTGTGGTCTTTATATGAGCCTGAAGTAGCTTGTTACTGCCAAAAAGAATAAGGCAAAGTCTGTGCCTCTAAATCAAACGTTCTGCTTAACTACTTTAGGAGCAGCAAGGTCCCTTGGAAAAAAGCTCCGAAGAAGTTGAAATTGGAACTAAAACATCTCTGCTCTTAAATAAACAGAAGAGCTTGTGGCCTACAGTGGAAGGAGTCAACTTTATAATTTAACTTTATTATGTCCTACTCCTAACAATTACGTGTATATATCCACAGCCTCACAAATGCTCTGCTGCTAATGGTATTTAAATTGCAGTAGTATCTCAAATTCCTGCAAAGAAATCTAATCTTTATTCTGATAAAACAAAAGTGCTTTATCTCTATGGGTTTTAATTTAGTAACAGAAAAAAGTATTCTATACACATTCTGCCTTTTAAAACTTGGGGGGTTTTTTGTTTGGTTGGTTGTTTTTTTTCATTGTTAGTGAACAGCACTTTACCACTTCTGAGCCTTTTGGCTTTCAGAGGCTTTTGTGATGCCCAAGGTGTCCTGGACATCTTTCCAGGGCTGTGTAGGTAGGGCATATTTCTCACATGCCTTTTGGTCTTTTGCACTGGCAGCCAGAGGCCCAGTGTGATGTTGTGGCATGTTTCAGATGTCACTGAATGCCTCTGTTAGGCAACTGAGTAATATCCTACATGCTCTTCCCCACTGTGCTAATCAGGGGGACAGTACAGTAGACATGCTCCGAAGTGCCTGGGAGAAGACCCTTGCCCAGCAGTACCTTTTGAAAACAGCTAGACACAGGAAGGGTGCAGAGATGATGCCCTCAATTGTTAAAGCTGCCATCAGTTACTGAATGATCAAACACTTGCCAAGGATGTGGGCAAACCAATGTGTTCTATGTGACCACAGCATAGACTGGGGTTGCACTCTGCTGTAAAGCAGGGTGGTTCTCCACTGCTGATGCCATGCACTCTGCAAAGATTTCCCATTCCTGATAGGAGCAGGCAGGCTTTTATCCTTTCAGTCCAGGTGATTGTCTAAGACCAAAGCAGCCTGGATTTTATCCGTTTTTTCAGGGACAGTTCAGCACTTTACCCAGTGATTGTACATCCTGTCTGGAAGTAAATACTCCATCTCTGCTCAGAGTTAAGCATCAAAGCCTCCAAGAGTCACAAGTTTTTAAACTTACAGACCAATTCCACATAGAATGATACTTTTCAGAGTGACAAAGCAGAAGAAAATTCCATCAGCACTTCAGAAGAACCTTTTCTCTACTGTAGGCTAATGATATCCAGCTGGAGATAGGGTGTTGCAATATGATATTCATTGCCAAGAAGTCTAGGGGAATGGAGCAGGTGATGTGGATGAAGAATTCAAAATGAAAACTTTTGGAAGAGAATAAAGTTATTATTATCAGACAACAAAAACTGTTGAGCCATGGAGAGGATCAGATAGGGAATTCACTTCATTTGGCATTTATATATTTCCTTCTCTTCCTGCAGGACTATACTTGGGAGAATCATGGCTTTTCCCTTGTAAACAGGCTTTATTCTGATATTGGGCATCTTCTGGACGAGAAGTTTCGAATGGTATATAACCTCACATATAACACTATGGCAACGCATGAAGATGTTGATACAACGACGCTAAGAAGAGCTTTATTTAACTATGTCCACTGTATGTATGGAATCAGGTATGGAGAAAAATCCCCTGGCTTAGGAATACATTTTAAAACTAAGTAAACAGAAAAATGAATCATGTGAAAAGCATGATTTTAGACTCTGGGTGTTTAAAGTGAAGACAATACCTCGGTCTGGAAGTTAGAGTGGGTTTGCTGGCATATCAGTATAACTTTTCCTTCTAGTGCAGAAAACAATTATCAGGATATCAGGATAGAAATTGTTACAGAAATATCTTCTCTGAAGCCAGTCTGAAACCTTTGTTCAGGAAAGACAGCATCTCAAAGCAAGTTCACAGACAACACCAAGTTGGGCAGGAGTGTTAAACTGCTGGAGGGTAGGAAGGCTCTGATGAGGGATCTGGACGGGCTGGATCAATGGGCCAAGGCCAATTGTATGAGGTTCAACAAGGCCAAGTGCCGGGTCCTGCGCTTGGGTCACAACAATCCCAGGCAGTGCTACAGCCTGAGGGAAGAGAGGCTGGAAAACTGCCTGGTGTCAAAGGACCTGGGGTGCTGGTCCACAGTGGCTGAATAGCAGTGCGTCCAGGTGGCCAAGAAGGTCAAGGGCATCCTGGCCTGTATCAGCAATAGTGTGGCCAGCAGGACCAGGGCAGTGATTGTCCCCCTGTACTCAGCGCTGGTGAGGCCACACCTCAAATCCTGTGTTCAGTTTTGGGCCCCTCACAAGAAGAAGGATCTTGAGGTGCTGGAGCATGTCTGGAGACAGGCAGCAGAGCTGGTAAGGGGTCTGAAGCACAAGGTCTATAAAGAGTGGCTGAGGGAGCTGGGGGTGTTTAGTCTGGAGCCTCAGGGGGGACCTTCTATACAACCCTGAAAGGAGGTTGTAGCCAGGTGGGTGTCGATCTCTTCTCCCAAGTAACAAGATGAGAGCAAATAGCCTCAAGTCGAACCAGGGGAGGTTTAGATTGGATATTAAACCTTTTCACAGAAAGGGTTGTGAAGTACTGGAACAGACTATCTAGGGAAGTGGTGGAGTCACAATCTCTGGAAGTGTCCATGTGGATATGGCACCTTGAGGACTTGGTTTATTGTTTATCATGGTGGTAGCGCTGACTAAACAGTGAACTTAATGATCTTAAAGGTCTTTTCCAACCTTAACAATTCTATGATTCTGCTAAGCCTTTCAGATGTCAGCAGGCGGTTTTCTGTCATGTATAATAAATGCTCCAGTTCCCAGGCTTAAGAACATAATGCTGCAAAAGACAATGCTTTTAAAAACTTAGATCAAACAGAGAGATTGCCTTTGCTATTTTTAGGTATGATGACTATGATTATGGGGAAGTTAATCAGCTACTTGAACGCAGCCTGAAGGTTTACATAAAGACAGTGACCTGCTACCCAGAGAGAACTACCAAGCGCATGTACGATAGTTACTGGCGTCAGTTCAAGCACTCGGAGAAGGTGTGTATCTCAAAGCCAAAGTGTCTTCACAGAGACCCCTGTGCTGTTTAAGAATTAAAATATGGGGACACCTAAAAATGGCAGTATCTGTCAAATGAACTGTTTTAAACCAGAGAAAACCAAATGAAATTAATTCGTCGAGTGTTAGTTACCAATTTTAGAAAACTACTTCTTAATTTACTGGAAGTACTTACATTTTTTTATTATTACTATTTTGAATGGCTTCTTTATAAAATGGACAACTCTAAAAGAAAAGTAGATAAACTTGGGAGTGCAGAAGTGGTGAACTATGCCAATACTTGGGATTTAGGGAACAAAAAATACTTAAATTCATATATATATATATATATTTATATAATCTACATGGTGTTTTTTAGCAATAAAAATGTTAACATGCCTTCAGATATCCTCACGAAATGCTTCATGACAAGGGTTCAGTGCCTGTGTGCCTGTTAGCCTATCTGGCATGGAAACTATTCCTTATTCTGTGTTCCTGTAGTGCTCAAAGGTGCTAGTAAAGGAAACAAAATACAATTCGGGAAGAACTGATGCCATTAAGATTTAAAAAAGGTTTTATTGGGAATTATAAGATGGAAGATTGTTTAAAGCAGCAGCTGAGGCTAGTTTCTTGCAGTCTTGGGATGTTGTCTGTATTGGCATACTACACAACTGTCTCAAGAGGAACTGTAGTACAGCAGGGAAGTATGGGAAGAAATGACATAGTTTTCTTGCAGCAATACTTTACTAAAGGTAGGAAATTTTAGCCCAAACGAATAGTGATGTTGCATTCAGAGGTGAGCTAAATGGCTGATTTAATTTTTTTTAACAGGTTCATGTCAATCTACTTCTAATGGAAGCTCGGATGCAAGCCGAACTTCTGTATGCCCTTCGTGCCATAACTCGTCACTTAACCTGAAGGATTCGCTGGGCAGGAGTAAAGGAGTTTTTACTGAGTATGTAAAGACCTTTTGAAATAGATACACACCAGAAGCTGTTTGTGATGTAGCATCAGGTTATTCAATTCTCTAGTGTCAAAGTTTAGCCGTGCTTCTTGGCGGCTGTAATGTGCAATGACGTGTTTTATTTTCTTGATGCTTAACATTACTAATGATAACAAAAGTAACACTGAGGAGCACTACTCTGCATTGTTTCCGCCTGGATTTCTGCGCAGTGGTCAGGATCCTGAAACTGTTTTTATTATATCCAATCCTAGCGCTTTGTTCTTTAGGCACTGGAGTGCTTAGAGACTTCTTTTTTCCAAGCAATCATTTTTCAGATTAGTGGAGTCCAGCAGAAGATCAGTTCTGCCTGTCCTGAGAGCGTACCACCATGCCGTGACTCGTGACAGAGATGCACAGGCTGTGTTGCATTGAAATGCCCACTGGATTCTTCTGTGTCTCCCGGAGACTGCTGCCAGTCACTGTCTTACTACAGCAATTGGAGGTGATGCGAGATGTGGATGCAAACATCGAGCACACTTTAATGTGAAATTAATCTTGATAAATCCTACAGCATGCTACTGAAGTGCGAAATTCATCTGCTTTGTCATGCCCCTTCCCAAGAGAAGAGGCCTCACGATTTGCCATTTCAGTCACACTTACTGTGTTCCAACCATGCATAACCTTGTTTTACTGACAGTCACCCTCAGTCATCCTGGCAATATCCATGCTCATCACATGTTGCAATTTTTTTAGTTGGCACCTATAAAATTAATACGCAGGCTGACCAAAAATAGGGTTGTGGGGTTTTTTGCACTCTCTCCTTTATCAATGTTGTAACTAAGGAAAGTAAAGAAAGGCTAGCATATCTGTTCTTTCATATTGGATGTATAGAAATTTACTTCCCATAACTTTTTCATAGCATAAAATTGTAATATTCAAAGTTTAAAAAGTTTCTATGCATTAGTGTGAGTGAACAAAAGAAAAGTGCAATATTTAAAAAGAAAGCAAGCTTTTTTCCCTGACATGCCACTGCTAAAGTGTCCTTCTTATATAGCCATAAAGAAATTTTAAAACCAAATTTCTTTATTGTCTAAGGCCTAGCAGTTTTGTTTTAGCTTTTATGGCTTAAGACAACCTGATACTGAGATGCCAAAGCATCCCCAAAACAAAGCATTTTTGGACAACCAGTAATATTGGGGAAGGGAAGAAATAAGCTGCCAAAAATGTCACACTTTTGTGCTGGGTTTTGTTGCTTTTGACTAATTTTTAAGAGCACAAAATGTTGATATTTATAGCTTTATCTTGTATTGCATTAATGAACCAGTGAAGTGCCTAAAGAGATGCTTAAATTTACCCAGTAGAACACAAGTTGTCACTGCTTCAACTTTTGTCTGTTGGTTTGGACTTTTCATATTTCTTTTCAAGAGGGTGACCTTTATTTCTGTGGCGTACATTCTAAACTAACTAGACAGGTTTGTTTTTAATGTTCCATTGGATTGTAGAAATTAATACAGATTTTTTTTCATTGGTGATTGCAGAATAGTAAAAAAAATACTACCAGTCATATTTTGACACTTTTCATTTACAAAATCATGGACCAGTACTCTACTAAAGTTAGTTTTCTCTTTTCTTCCCTTTTATGATCCTTGCTGTGACTTCGCATGTTGGTTTTTCTGCTTTATCTGTCTGTTCCAGATTGGAAAGCTAAATGATTGTACACTTTTCTGCACTTTCAGACTGCATGTGAAAACGTTTTGAGGAAGAAATCAGTAATTAATTTTTTTAATGTCATGTTGGCTATTTAGAAAACTACCCAACAGGCAGCATCAGACTGTCTTCTAAGAGAGAGCATTGGGTAGAACATAGATTTATTTATCTTGTATAGCTAACTGCAAAGATTTCTCAGAATTATTGAGATGTTCATATGTATGAACTTAGATTAACATTCTAAGTTGTTATGATTCTTTTTCCTCCCTCTTGTGATTGTAGTGGCCATACCTAATGGCTTTTGTGCATAAAACAGTTCTGCTGAGAGAAGTTTTCATGCAATACTTTTGCTTTTTTCAAGTGATGTGAACTGTTCAGTACTATTTTAAATTCCTTTGTTTTGAAAAGTCAAGTAGTTCTCAAGAAGCACAGCTGAGCTTCTGGAAAAGAGGTGAAACTAGATTTGGATAATTAACATGATGGCTTAGTTTCCCTTCAGAAATGCAAAGACTTCTTGGGTAGGTTGAGTTTTACATTTGGAATCATGAGTGCCTTTACTTCTTTCATTATGAAATATACTTGCCAGCTCAAATGCATTCTGAGCAAAGTACATGAGCAGATTTGAAACACAGAAACCATAAATGGATCTCTTAATAAAATTTGTAGTAAACCAGTGTTTTGTTTTTTTTAAAATGCCATATCAAGTCACATATGGCCTGCAAGACATTCCATCATAGGAAATGTCATTGTACAACTAGTTTGATATTTCAAATTTTTTTTTTTTTTGTAATCTTAAATGCAAACTTGAAACATCTGGAAATGTTTTCCACGTGGCATTTTTTTTCCAAAGTATTGCATTTACAGTGCAACAATTTATAGCCTAGTTTTTATAATCAAATTTTGGATTTTTATTAGATGTTTGTTCAGAATAGGTGTTTAAAGTCAGACAGTGCTACCATACTCTTTATGCACGCTTTGGGTTCACACTGTGCCAAATGTTAATGTGCAAGTGTTCTTGGTTTTTCTCTTTTTGCATTTTTAAGCACTCGTGAATGTGAATCTTCACACTTTGTTCATTAATATTTTTCTTAAGAGTACGGTAATCATTGGAAGCGTAGACACTCTCCCTCTGTGTTCCTTTATTGAAACTGGTAATTTCCAGCATTAATGTTAGTCTACAAAATCCCAGCCATGACCAACATAAAAACAAAGTGTACAGTTCTCCTGTCTACTGAAGAGAAAGCTTGGTAGGTACAAATTAACCAACTAGCACAGGGAACACTGTAAGCAGGGAACAGAGCTTTTGAGCATGGACAGCTTCTTATCATTGCAGAGTCACTTTAAAATGTGAGTTGCAATAGAGTATATCCTTGCTGAAATTGCTCCATTTTTTTGGTAATGAAGAGAAGTGAAAAAGGTGCCAATTGGAGAAAGCATTTACATTTTCCTGAACACTCTACCCACAGCTGAACATCACAAGACTGTCATCATACAAGAACAGAAATAATTTTTAAAAAAGAAATAATAATTTTAAACTTGGGTGCAGTTTGTGCAGATAGCTGCTACAGCTACTGCTATATGAGAATTTTGGTGAGCTGTAGATGGGCTTATTTTCACCAAGGCTGAACTGAAACATATATCCTTTCCCTAAAGCCTTCATTAAAATGAAAATCACAGAATCATAGAATATGCTGAGTTGGAAGAGACCTATCAAGATCGAGTCCAACTCCTGGCCCTGCACAGGACCACCCCCAAGAGTCACAAATGGTGCCTGAGAGTACTGTCCAAACACTTCCTGAACTCTGTCAGGCCTGGTGAGCCTGTTCCAGTGCCCAATCACCTTCTGAGTGAAAAACCTTTCCCTGATATCCAACCTAAATCTCCTCAGACACAGCTTTATGCCATTCCCTCGAGTCCTGTCACTGGTCATTGGTCACAAGACTGAAGAGATTGGTGATGTCTTCCCTCAGTCTCCTTCAGGCTGAACAGACAAATGACCTCAGCTGCTCCTCATATGGCTTCTCCTCCAGACCCTTCACCACCTTTGTTGTCCTCCTTTGGACACTCTTTAATAGTTTAATGTCTTTTTTATATTGTGGTGCCCCAAACTGCACACAGAACTCAAAGTGAAGTTGCACCAGTGCAGAGTAGAGTGGGACAATCATCTCCTCTGACCAGCACCTTGATCCTTGAAAAGGATGTACTTTCAGCTGTAAGAGTTAAAGAACTGCCACTATCAACTCTTCCTATGTATTAAAAAAAGCCTTTAAGGACAGGAAAATCAATGATTGTAAACAATTATATACGTGGGTCTCTCTAAATGTAAAACAGATCAGAACAGAACAAAAATGAAAACATTTTGCTGCTCTGTTACTTGAGTGCAGAAGTTCAAAGCACCAAATTCTTCAAAAGTATTTTTGTTTGTAGTGATGCTGATAGATATTTTCATGGGTTTGGAAAAAGTAGCTAGCTGTCTAAATTTCAGTGGGCATTTAAGCACCCAGGCACTCGGAAAAATCCTAGCAGGTGCCCACTTGCATTTTTGAGTCAGATTTTTAAAGAAACGTAGTCATCTAAATTCAACAGAATAAAATTAGTTTCCATAGAGATTAAAGGAATAATGTGTATCAGATCCATGTGATTTGCAGCAATTGTTAATGAAATGGGCTGTTTTGGGGACTTAATGTAAGCATAGAGAAATCTCTCCTAAAGCAGTTAAACTGTAAGCTGCTGCTCTTGCAGAACAGGTTCTCGATGTTTCTTATGCATGTGTGTTTTCCATGAACATAAGCATGCATTTCAGGCTCACGTTCCAGAATTTGGACTCCCTTTCAGAAGAGCTGTATTATTTAATTTCTCCTTGCAGAAAAGATTCATTGGAGGTAGTAAGTGGATAGCTTGTGCCTGGACTAAAAAGTTTGGCTAAAAAGAAATACTCAAGTCTTCTTGATCTCGACTGATGTTCTTTCAGTTACTTTCCTTAGAGGTTTGGATCCTTCTCCCGTAAGGGGTGATGTTGCACAAAATAAAGGAAGAGGGGAGTGAGTTCATTGTAAATGAACTTTCACAGAGCAGATCTGAATATAAAGGTGTAAGAATTAATTTTCTGTTAATGATCATTTCAAGAGCTGGACAAAAATGTCAGTTTTCACTATATGAACTTCAGATTTACGGTCCCTAATGTCCCCCAGCACTATGTCTGTCTCAAGAGATGCATCCACCAGCTTTTCTGTATCTAAGTGAAAGTTTTTATCTCCAAATGAAAATTAATTTAGCATTTCATACCTACTGCATAAATCACAGGTGTGGGAGGTGGAGAGAGCACAGTAATATAAAGAAACTTTAGGAGCATCTTGATCAGTGTTAATTTATTCCGTAGAGCACATTTCCTGTGATGTGGTCATGATGCTGCTCCCCCAACAAAAACATCAGGTCTGTTTTGCAGACATTAAATCCTTCTGCCACTCATTAGGGTCAAAAATTGTCATTTTCCGACCTGTCACCACCCCTGTCCTCCATGAAGTGCTTCCTGTCTTCCCAATTCACAGCCCTGAGCAGACATGCAGGGACAACCTCCCAGCCTTAACCTTGAAAAAAGAAGATTGAGTTGAGTGCAGAGGCTCTTTCTTATGTTTAGAAACACTTAATTGCCATATTAGGTTATTTCTGGACAGGAAAATTCTATATGTGGTTTGAAAGGATGAAACTCAGTATATTTAGGCAACCTTTGGCCAGTAGCATGTCAGAGCCCATCTCTGGAGTTACAGTAGAAATCCAGTGGACCCACTAAGGAAACACTTTCTTTGGCGAAGCACCCCATGCTTGAGCTATTCAGCTGTGCAGGTTTCTCTGAGGGACATCTAAAGGGGGATTTGAGGTCCCCTTGTGCCAGGCAGGCTTACAGGGCCATTGGGTTGGCATCCCCTCAGGTGCCTTGCAGCCTGGCAGACTGCATCCAGCCTCTGGCACAAGTGGATTTGGGTTTTTCACTTACCTATGGGAAAAAATCCAAATGCTCACCATGGAGTGGCTGCTGGGAACAGTGGCAAGGTTGGGTGTTTCTCCAGGTACTGAGTATCATCAGGGCTTGTGGAAAATAGAAACCTGAATTCTGCCCTTGTTCCTGACAGCAGTTAGAGGTGGTACTGAAAATGCCAGTTATTGTACTAATTGTGGGGAGCAAGCCGCACTATCGGCATCAGGAGGTACAGATCACAGGCATTTTTGAGGGGACACAGCCAGCACAGGAGGAGTTGACGTGTTGGTCAGTTGCAGAAACGTCACTGATGTGTGCAAGAGGTTCTTTTCTATGCCTGTGCATAGGGGAGATGGTGGAAGATGCCTCCTTCCAAGGTCTCCAGAGGGCTTCTCTGGGAAAAGAGCTGGCACCCTTTGCTTACTCCACAGGTGGAGCAGGGGAAGGGAACCAGGTTCTTTCGCCCAAGAAAAACTTGCCACTGTTGAATTGCATTTTCTTGCCCCCATCAGGCATTTGAAGGGAGTTTTCAGGCAAAATGGGTGAATCACCAAGCATTGTGTCTCCAGATGAGGGGTCTGAGGGGCAGCGACAGCAGCAGGTCCAAACATGCACTGTCCAAAACTGTTTCTCATTCCTCACTTCATGCTCATGTCGTGCCACCAGACCCAAACCGCTTCCCTCCAACCTGGCTGCCTACCAACCCAGGTGGCCGCAGGAGCAGCCCACTCAGGGTGGTGAGTAATGCAGCCCCTTCTAGGGAAAAAAATAATAATAATTAGGCTACAGCCCTTGGACTCTGCAAGGCAACGCAGTCAAAGATCTTTCCACAACTGTGACCAGAACTGGATATGAACTGTAGCTTAAAAAAATAGGAATTTTGTAAACTTGAAATCTCTCAGTTTTACCCTCTTCTCCTTTTGCTGGAAAGCCACACAATGAATGTATATGCTTTACTTTCTATCCGACATAACTGAAAATCAGACTGCCAACTCCTTGTTTTGTATTAGCCTTTTTTTAAAAAAAAGAAAAAAAGTTTGTGAGCAATATATGTAGCATGCTGTGAACGTCTGTTTTGATCTTTATAGTTACTCTTTAATCCATCAGTATTAACACCAGTTCTTTTTTGTGTTCCCCTTGGTACTTTGTATGCAGTGTAAGCAGAAGCTGTGATCGGCTTTGCAGTCCTGTGCCATGTTACTGTAAATCCTTGATTTTTTAGGAAGCACCTGACTGTGGGCCACCCTGGGGCAGATAGCGTGCCCGAACACGACTGCCACTTTTCGGTCTCTTGTACTATGTATAGTTTTAAGTAGAATAAGCTTTTTAACAGAATATTGATGCGGTTTATGAGTCACGCAGGCTGCAAGTGTCTGGTGTGTGAGAGTCTTTGTATTTATAGTTGTTGGGGTTTGGTTTTTTTTGTTTTGTTGTTGTTTTTTTGGTTGTTTTTTTTTTTTTTAATTCATAAAGTAGCAAACTTGATAAACATAGCCACTTTAAACTGCTCTTGCTAAACAGACCCTGCTGTAGATAAAATACCACTGTAGATACAGGGAGGAGCACCAGCTGTCCTCTCTGGACTGTGGGTGAGCGGAGCCCCTCTCTTCAAAAAGCATGGTCGGAGCTGCATGGCCACCTTGTGTTTGACTCCACTGGGACCCAAACACTGGGAAGGCTGGGGTCTGGCATGTGTTTCAGCCCCTTGTGCCCGTAAGCCTGCCACTGGCTTCCCTCCACAGTCTGCTTACCAGTGCATGGGGGAGAACTTGGGCCTCGCTGGTATGAGAGAGATGGATGGACAAGCTGCTGGACTGCAGACATGGTCACGGTGTTCCTGCAGCTGAAAAGCTTCTAAGCCTCTCTCGAGTGCAAAAATTAGCCCTTGATTTGCTGTCTGCAGAGCCTGGCACATTGGGGAAAGAAGCAGTGCTGGCTCCCCGTTGGCAGCTGTGGGTCTGAGCCCCCTTGGCCGTGGTGACAGGCAGGCCAGGGCAGGGCAGGGCAGTGCTGTGCCTGGGGAGAGGCGTTTCGTTGCATCTCCCACCTCTGACCCTCTGGACAGGGGATAAATTGTACCCAGCCCAGCAGCTCTCAGCTTCTTGCCTCCTTCTGCCACGGCCATGCGGGTGTTTCAGGATGGAGGGTTAAGGACAAAGCTCTGATCCTGCTGCTCCCTCCCACCACCACAAAGTGAGGAAGCATGGTAGCCCTATGGGTCCCAC